CACTCGACCGGAGGGCAACCCGGCACCCTGGGCCCCTTGCGAGGGCTCGCATGGGATGAGGCCATTGCGGTTTTAATGTGTCTGTGCCCATGTCCCAAATCGACAGCGCCAAGAAGAAGAAGATGGCAGACAAAATCCTACCTCAGCGGGTGAGTGGCAGTGCCCGCCGGGACGTGGGGAGCTGTGGCGCTCGCTGGTGCTGAGCGGCTCTTCCCTGCTCCAGATTCGTGAGCTGGTCCCCGAGTCCCAAGCCTACATGGACCTGCTGGCCTTTGAAAGGAAACTGGACCAGACGATCATGCGGAAGCGCCTGGATATCCAGGAGGCCCTGAAGCGACCCATTAAGGTAGAGTGGGAGTGTGCAAGATGGTGCTGTAAGCCAGGATTGGAGTCTGCCCTTACCCAAGAGAACAGCCTGGTCCTGTCCCCGTAAACGTGGTGGATCAGGAAGCGCCCTAGCCAGGAGCGGAGCCGGGAATGCCTTGTGTTCCTCTTTCCTTGCTGCCTGTCTTGCAAGAGAGAAGGCTTCTAGAGCCTCTTAGTTTCAGGAAAACAAAGGCAAGATAGTCCTTTATTTCAAAATTAACATTTAGCTGATGCTTTTTCTCTTAGCAAAAGCGAAAGCTACGTATTTTTATCTCCAATACGTTCAATCCAGCCAAGTCGGACGCGGAGGATGGTGAAGGAACGGTTGCATCGTGGGAGCTGCGGGTGGAAGGTCGACTGCTGGAGGACGTGAGTGTGAGACAGCCGGTGCCTTTAGGGAGGGCAGGAGACGAGCGCTGATGTCTCTGGATAAACCAGGCTCAACGGGGCTCTACCTCTGAGATTAGCTCTGCTAACGCTCTTGCTTCCTGTGTTGCTTGCAGTCTGCTTTGTCTAAATACGATGCCACCAAACAGAAAAGAAAGTTCTCGTCCTTCTTTAAATCCCTGGTCATTGAACTTGATAAAGACCTGTACGGCCCCGACAATCACCTGGTAGAGGTGAGCTCCCTTCTGCTGTGCTGTCTCGAGGCGGGTGCTGCTCAGCAGGCAGGATTTGTTCCTCGGTCGCGTCTCAGGACACAGAGGTGGCTCGAGCGAGGGGCCGGGAGCCAGGAGCTGTTGGGATCCTCGCTTTGCCAGGGGGCTGAGCAAGTGCATTAACTCGTTTCACGCTGCACGGGGGGATGTGACTAATCCTCCTGGTGGGTGAGGGCTCCTGGCGAGCGTGTCAGGCACCAAGCAGGGGCAAAGGCAGGCAGGAGCGCTGGCCCTGACCACGCGTGCTCCTCGCTGTGCAGTGGCACAGGACGGCGACAACCCAGGAGACGGACGGCTTCCAGGTGAAGCGGCCGGGCGACGTCAACGTTCGCTGCACGGTCCTCCTGATGCTTGACTATCAGGTGAGCTCCCGGGCGGCTCGGCGGGGCACGGGGGGCCCACAGCGCCCGTCACCGCCTTCCCGTCTCGTGTTCTAGCCTCCCCAGTTCAAGCTGGATCCGCGCCTGGCCCGTCTCCTGGGGATCCACACCCAGACGCGCCCCGTGATCATCCAGGCACTGTGGCAGTACATTAAGACCCACAAGCTGCAGGACCCCCACGAGCGAGAGTTCGTCATCTGTGACAAGTACCTGCAGCAGGTAACCGGGGCTGCGGTGCGGCACACGACTGCTCCAGCATCTCCCTGTAGCTGCAGGTGATCCCGGCGCCGCGCTCACCTCCCTGCCCTTTTTTCTGTCGCAGATATTTGAATCTCAGCGGATGAAGTTCTCTGAAATCCCTCAGCGGCTCCACGCGTTGCTTATGCCCCCAGAACCCATCATCATTAACCACGTGATCAGGTGAGGCAAGTCCACCGGAGTCCATTTCTCTTGGGAAAAAGGGTGGAAAGAAGATGTTCAGGAAGATGCTCCAATATGTTGATTTTTCAGAGTGCTTCCCCTGCCATTATTTCTTTGTGCAAGAGCAGCCACCTCTTCCATTAACCAAATCCCTCTTCCCAAGGAGTCTGCTGTCTTGAGCTCCTTGATTCAGTTTCTTTCTTTGGCTGTTCTTAGTGTTGACCCAAACGACCAGAAGAAAACGGCCTGCTATGACATTGATGTGGAGGTGGATGATACCTTGAAGACTCAGATGAATTCCTTCCTGCTCTCTACAGCCAGTCAACAGGAAATTGCTGCTTTGGATAACAAGGTAGGAAGAGCTCCATCATTTCTGCCACCCTCATTGCTGCATACAGACGTGTCCTTGCAGCAGGTGAGCTCGGAGTAGCACAGGAGTCCATTGGGAGAAGTGGTGTGGGGTTGGTCACGGTTAGAAATGGGTGGCTTTATCTGGAAACAAAGCTGTAAAGCAACAGTCAATGGGAAAACTGGTAACGCAGGGAACAAAATTGAGAATTTTGTCTGATAAGCGTAATTCAGCCGGGGAGCATCAGAATTCACCTTCATGTATTGGGTTACTTGATATTTTCCCTCTAACTTTTCCCCTTTTTAGCAGCTGTGGCATCTGTCTTTCAGATTCATGAAACAATAGAAACAATTAACCAGCTGAAGACGCAGCGGGAATTCATGCTGAGCTTCGCCCGAGACCCTCAGGGCTTCATCAACGACTGGCTGCAGTCCCAGTGCCGGGATCTGAAGGTAAGAGCTTGGTCTCGTGCGGAAGCGGGGCCCGGCCACAGACTTCCCTCACTAGAAGCAGCTCCCACAGGGAGCAGCAGTTCGTTGCTCAGAAACCAAGGCTGGAATTGAGTTGAACGTGACCTGGCCTCACTGTGCTGAAGCTTCTTCAGAGAAGCTTCTCTGAAGAAGTAGGGGGTGGGTTTGCTGCCTGAACCCTCCTGTCCTGTCCAGACGATGACTGATGTCGTGGGGAACCCCGAGGAGGAGCGCAGAGCCGAGTTCTACTTCCAGCCGTGGGCGCAGGAAGCTGTATGCAGATACTTCTACTCCAAGGTGAGCGTCAACTGGTAGCCGGAAGCGCCCGTCCTTGCGCGGGGCAGGCACTGCTGCTACGGGGTAGCCGTGCTGACCCTAGCCATAGGCCCCACTGATGCCTCTGGGTCCCAGCTTGTGCTTTGCCGCCAGGACCTTTGTCACTCAACACTGCCCGGCTCTGCAGCCTCAGAATATTAATGCTGCGACTCCGGCCTCTCCTGCAGGTGCAGCAGCGGCGGCAGGAGCTGGAGCAGGCCCTGGGAATCCGTAACACATAGGCTGCTTCCTCCCTGGCCAGAAGGCGCCTCAGCTGCGTGTGGAGACGGAGAGCTGCAGAGGATGCTGTTAGTCCCACTCTGGCACTGAGCCCTGCACCACCATCCATGCTGGCGTTGTCCTTCTGGGGCCTCCTGGGCTGTGACAAGCAGACAGGCTCCCACGGGCACACACTTCTACCTTGTTTTTCCTCCTGACTGTTGCCTTGCCAGTCCCAAGGCCCCTGAGAGCCTCCCCTTGACTCTGCACCGCCTGTAGCGTCCCCGTAGCCAGCAGCACAACTGCAGACTCAGAGTCCCTTGAGCTCCAAAACCGCAGCCCTTCCCCAGCGAGCACCTGGCTGTGGCACACACGTGGCGCCCGGCCGCAGGGACGGAGCCCTGGCACCAGTGTCTTCCCTGCTCAGTTTTTATAGCAAGGTGCAAGCTGATGGAGGGGCCCTGGGCTGCCCTCCTGCCCGGGGGGAGCTGCTGCTGCACAGGGCTGCCCCATGGGTCACTCCCTGAGGAAGAGTCGATGGACTCTAGAGAACTGCTTCTTCCTCTGTCCCGTTTTTCCTTGCTTCCCTCGTGTCCTTGGGCAGGCCAGGCTCGCAGGGGAGAGGAGGCGCCGGCTCCAGGCAGGGGTGCAGGAGCGCTGCAGCAGGAGGCTTCACCCCATGAGACCAACCTGGCCACTTGGTTTCCCTGTAGTGGGGAGAGCCGTGCGGGCGTGCGGCGAAATGGGCTCATTCCGTTGGGACACTCACCCTGTGTCAGTGTTATGGGGACCAGAGGCTCCGTGATGTAGATGTGCGGGGCAGCGGGGCGGTCTGTGGGGATGGACGTAACTCCGAGCATCTGTGTTGGGTTTCCTTGCTGGAGCTCCCAGGGTTCCGGGGCTGCCGGAAGGCCCAGCATGGATCAGGAGTGTACAGGTAGATGTTCTCAACCTTGGGGAGTAGCAGCCCAGATTCCTCTTCCTGGAATGAATTAATAGTGAATTAATTAATGGTTAGGCGTAAGAGAACGGTTTCTCTTAACCTGAATCTCAGTATTTCTGCTTGGGACTGAAATGCAAAGGAACTCGAAAGCCAGTTGGGTTTTCTTGGAGAGAGCTGCAAAATCATGTTACTGACGACCCCCCTCAACTCCCAGCTGTGCGGGGTGGCCGGGAGGCTTCTCTGACCTCGGGAGCCGGTCTGTCCTGCTCCCCGTTTCTGTGTTGCTACATGTCTGTGAGTATTAGACTCTCGGCCCCCTTTTCCTTTGCCCCCTTCTGAAGTGGCTCCTCTGTGGTACCGGGGGCAGGTGTTGGTGCTGCCGAAGCAGCCCCTGCCTCCTTGGGGTGATCACACGTGAAGGATGCTCAGTACTGCGTAGGCAAGCGTAGCTGTTGCAGAGTAACTGCTTTTCTTAACTGATCATTATGTTTTTTTTTTCCATGGACCAAATTTTTTTTGTACTGTATCCTTGTAGACGTCACCCAGTTTTAATAAAAGCCTCCTGCGAAGGGAGCTGGGCTGCCTCCTGTGCTGCCGCGTGCGCTGTTGCGTCTGCTTCGCGTGCTTGCCGACAAGGACAAGTTATTGCCTGCCTTGTTCTCCCTCTCTTAAAGCCAGCTGGGATAACAAACGGGAGAGATGATGTTCTTTACGCATTAGCCTTTATACAGCGCCTGCCTTTGCAGTGAGAGCTCTTCGCAGAGCCTTTGCGAATTCCTTTTGTGGGCAAGAGGCAGCGTAACCCGAGCAAAACTGGGAACGCAGTGGCCAAGCGCCTGATAAGATCTGGACAGCCGCATTTCCACCCTCCGCGCTGCCTTCTGTGAGCCCCACGGGCCTTGCACAGGGTGGTGGAAGAAGCTATTACAGTTTATGCTCTTGGAGCTGTGTTCAAAAAGGAAGGCACTGTTGGCCAAAGTGCTGCTGGAGCCCCACGGAGGTGGTGAGCAGGCGAGGGCAGCGTGAGGCGGGCAGAGCCTCCACCTTGCTCGCGGGCCGGTGTCCTCCGTGCACGGAAAAGGGCATTTGGCCTGAGGTTGGGAGCGAGCGCCGTGCTCTGCGCCGGAGTGAGCTCCATGCACCGGGTTCATGTTTCTTGCTTGGAAAAAAAAGGCTCCCGCGGCTTGGGAGGATGGATCTGTTTCCTTGCAGCACCATGGGGAGGGTGGCTGGGCACCGGTGCCCGCTGGCTCCGTTGGGATCCCAGCTGTTCCACCTTGGCCTGGGGGCTGGGGGGGGACTCCGCTCCGTGCCCCAGGCGGAGCCAGGGGCGGGTCGGGGCCGCCCCTGCTCCGGCTGCCCTGAAATAGCGCGTGGGGCTGCGCGGCGCTACTGCCCGGCTGCACGCACTGCCCGGCCGTGCACTGCCCGTCTGCGCACCATGGGCGGCAAGAAGGTCTGCATCGTGGGCTCCGGCAACTGGTGAGCGCCGCGCGGCTCCACGCTGCTCCCTTCTGCTCCGCTCTGCTCCCTTCTGCGCTGCTCCACTCCATTTCGCGCTGCTCTTTCTGCTCCGCTCCACTCTGCTCCGCTCCACTCCACTCTGCTCGCTTCAGCTCGCTCCCGTTCTGCACCGCTGCACTCTGCTCCTTCTGCTCTGCTCTGTATCACTCCACTCTGCTCCCTTCAGCGCGCAGGGGCTCGGCCATCGCCAAGATCGTGGGCAGCAACGCGGCGCGGCTGGGCACCTTCGAGAGCCACGTGAGCATGTGGGTGCTGGAGGAGGAGGTGGGCGGCCGGCGCCTCACGGACATCATCAACACGGAGCACGAGAACGTCAAGTACCTGCCGGGCCGCAAGCTGCCCCCCAACGTGGTGGGTAAACGGAGGGGACGGAGGCCTGGCCGCGCCACCGCCCTAGCCTGGTGCCCCATTGCCTGGGCTTGGTGCCACGTGTCCCCCCGTGCCGGGGCTGCCGCAGCGCAGTGCTCTGCGGCACCGAGGGAGCAAGCGCGCAACGCCGCTGCCGTCGGCCGCAGGTGGCGGAGCCGGACCTGCTCAAGGCCTGTGCCGGGGCCGACATCCTGCTGTTCGTGGTGCCTCACCAATTCATCGGCAAGGTCTGCGACCAGCTCAAGGGCCACATCAAGAAAGATGCCATCGGGCTGTCGCTCATCAAGGTGTGCGTGGCTCCTGGGGCTGTCTGGGGAACCCGCACGCGGAGGCCGGGACAGGGGACGCGCTGGCAGGGACAGAGGCTTTGCAGGGACCTGGGCGGGGTCTGTGTGGGGGGATCCCTGTGTAGACCCTTGGGCCAGGCTGAGGTGCAGGGAGGGAAGGATCCGGGCCGGTGGGTCCCTCGGAGCGGGACATGGGACCAGCTCCATCCCCGGTTGCGTCCCAGGGGGTGGATGAAGGCCCAGAGGGGCTGAAGCTGATCTCGGACATCATCCGCGAGAAGTTGAGCATAGAGATGAGCGTCCTCATGGGGGCCAACATCGCCAACGAGGTGGCGGACGAGGAGTTCTGCGAAACGACCATTGGTGAGCGGCGCGGCGGCACCGGCGCAGGCCCCCCGCTGGGCAGGGGCTGCACGCCCCACTCCCACCACGTGCAGACGTGTCCAAGTGCTGCTGCCACCACGCAGGGACAGCGCTGGGCTCTGCTAGGGCACCTATCCCGCCAGCTGGGCGCTGAGCCCTGCTCCAAGGCAGGAATGTGCCCAGTTCCCAGCCCTCTGCCCTTCTCAGAGTGACGGAGCAGCGCGAAGGCCTGTCGGGCCTGGGGGCCACTCCCAGGGCTAAGCTGAGCCCCCCCTAGCTCTGCTTCCCGGGTTTCTGGGGACGCTCACCTGGATCGCGGGTTATGGCCAGCAGGGCTGCTTCCAAGTTCAGCCAGTGACTGTTGCTTGTGTCCCCCGTCCAGCCTGTGACTCACTCAAGGCATCCAAAGCCAAGGGAACGGTTTGCCAGGTCGGGAGCTATGGGATTCAGGCTGTCCCTAGTTTCAACGCCAGCCGGGACTGCAGGGGTTATCACTCAGAAACGCTCCTGCTCAGGGCAGGGCCCAAGAAAACAGCGGTCTCCAACCCCAAGTTTGCAACCTCTGAAGACACCTTTAATCCACTGGGCATGTGTCCCTTTTGTCCCGCTGGGATTGTCCTGCTCTTGGGAGAGCTCCAGGGCTGCAACCTTGCTCACCGCCCCCGCAGCGTGTTGGGCACTCCACGTACCTGCAGATGTTTAGCAAGATGCAGGAGCTGGGAAATGGGCTCCTCTGCCCGCAGCACCTCCCAGCTGCAAGAATGGGGCCGGCGCAGTGGGATCCCACGTTAGGACCCGCCATCACCCTCCTCCCGCTCCCGTTGTCCCGGCAGGCTGCAAGAACACGCAGCAAGGGCAGATCCTCAAGGAGCTCATGCAGACGCCGAATTTCCGGGTGAGCGTGGTGCAAGAGGCTGACACCGTGGAGATCTGCGGGGCGCTCAAGGTGCGTGAGCTGCTCGCGGGACGTGCTCGCTGAACAGCCCTCGAGGGGCCGATCCGTCCACGGCGCCATCCTCTTGCAGAATGTCGTAGCCGTGGCGGCCGGGTTCTGCGATGGCCTTGGCTTTGGGGACAACACCAAGGCTGCTGTGATCCGTATGGGCCTCATGGAGATGATCGCCTTTGCCAAGCTCTTCTGCAAGGGCCCCGTCACCTCCTCCACGTTCCTGGAGAGCTGCGGCGTCGCCGACCTCATCACCACCTGCTACGGAGGCCGCAACCGCAAGGTGGCCGAGGCTTTCGCCAAGACGGGCAAGGTGAGCGGGGCAGGGCGGTGCGAGGGGCTGCCGGCACCACGGGACCAGCCCGTGATGGGGCTGCAGGACTGGCACGCAATGGCGTCCAGGCGCTGCAGGACCAGCTCATGATGGGGCTGCGGGACCGGCCTGCAATGGGGCTGCAATGGGGCAGAGGATGCGGGTGCGACTCGCTCCCTGCCTCGCTCCCTGCCGCCTCCCTCCAGTCTATCGAGCAGCTGGAGAAGGAAATGCTGAATGGGCAGAAGCTGCAGGGGCCACAGACATCCGCCGAGCTGCACCACATCCTCAAGAGCAAGAAAGCAGTGGACAAGTGAGTGCTGCGGCCGTCTCGCCTCACGCGCCGCTGGGATCTTTCCTGCAGATGCGGGAGGGTCACCTGCTCTTCCAGCAGCCCTGTGTGTCCCCGGGGAGCTGGAGGCTGGCGATGACTCTGTTTGTGTGCCCGCAGGTTCCCTCTCTTCACAGCCGTGTATCAGATCTGCTACGAGGGCAAAGCTGTTGCTGACATCATCAAGTGCCTTCAGGACCATCCTGTGCACATGTAGGGCAGCTCAGCTGCTGCCTGCGCCTCTCTGCTGCTGCTACAGCTTTGATGGGAGCCAGGGCCTCCCAGGAGCCCCCGTGGAGCCCCGCAAGGGCAGCGGGTCCTCAGGCCGGGGCTGCTGCCTGGCGTCCGCAGGAGGTACCTGCGGCTCCTCTGCTCCTTCTGCAGTGCTCCTCCGGCTTCCGCTGCTGCCTCGGCTCCGTCCCGAGGAAGGCTGGGCGTCCTCCTCCTCGTGTTTCCTCCCGCTGTGATGGCTTCGGCTCCCCCCGCGGCCCTGCCTGTCACCACAGGCTGCCTGTGTGGACAACTTGATTCTTTGCCAGCCATGTGAGGGCAGCTCTGGGGCCTCTGAACCCCTTGGGAATTCCCTCGTGCTGCACCCTGCTCCCGCAGGGAAACCTGCCCCACGCGGCGGGGGCCTCCGGCTACATTGCCATGCGGCTGCGCCAGCCCCACATGCCTGCCAGGCCCTGGCACCCCTCCTACCTCCCGCCCGCTTGTCCTCTGTCGCTTCGGCAATGCAGGGACCAACTGCCCCCAACTCCTCCCGAGCAGCTGGCCGGCTGTGCTGCCCGCGGAGGGGCCCTGCCAAAGCAGTTGGGCCATGTGGCTTCCACGTGAGTGTCCCCAGCAGCTTCCCCCTCTCCGGCTTGTCCGCTCCGCGCCGCAGCCCAGGATCTGCTCCGCATGGAGCTGGGCCGAGCGAGCTCATTTCCCCAGCTTTTCCTTTCCCTCGGCTTTTCCCTGAAAGCTGCCCCCCAGCTCAAAGGGCAGCACCGGACACGCAATCCCTGTGTGGAGCGGGGAGAGGCCAGAGGTCTCTGTGCCTCGGGCCGTGCCGGGAGCCTTTGGAACTTGCCCCTTGTCTGCTGTGCAGCTCTGTGCTCCGCTGCCCCTGCGCTCCTGTTTGCTCAGGCCCGCGTCCAACAGCTCTGTGATCCCTGCCGGGGCCAGCACGCGACAGCCACAGCTCCAGCTCCCAGTGCCGCTGGCCCTCAGGCTCGCAGTGTAATTTATGGATGTTTAGAACAATAAATCTGGGCGGGGAGACCCCCCCCCCCGGCTCTGTGATTCCAGTGCATCCTTGGCCGGGGCTGGTGGCTGCTGCCTGTGCAAAGAGGGGGGAGCAGAGCCCTGGCTGCTCCCTGTAGCCCTGCACCGTGTGCAGAACTGGGGAGAAAACCCCCATGGGCATCACAAAATGTAAGTCTCCCCTTGGCCTTTTCTCAGCAGGGCTTCTGGTGCCAACACTTGCCCGTAGGACTGAAGAGGGTTGAGACTGCAACGCTTAATTGGGTGCAAAATCCTTCCCCTGCGCTGTAGGGCCTGCAGGAGCAGGGCCCCAAGGCTCCCTGCATTTGAGCTCTTGGCTTCCAGGGAAAGGCCCTGTTAGTTTAATGATCTCTCGCCACCTTCCTCTCCCTGTTGGCCTTGCCTCGTCCCTGTCTTTCTCTGAAATACGGTCCACCCTGGGTGACCTTTGCGGTGCCATCAGCCCTCCGCTCAGCCACTTGCTGGGGGAATTTAATCTGCTTGTGTTGCAGTTGTTTCTGTGCCTTTTATTAGACACGCATTCTCGCCGGGAACGCTACGACTACGCCCTTAAAAGTCAACTGAGCCATCAGTCAGAAGGGAGCCAGCGGCAGCTTCCTCTCTTGAGGAGCTTTAATGAGGTCAGAAGACAGAGAATGGTCCGTGTCTTCCGCAGGGCCTCGTGCAGCTCCCGGCTCCATTGTCTTGAGGTGTCAGGACAGGAGCTGCTCTGAGCTTTCCCTCTGCGCAGGTCCAGCCTCTCCCAGGCTGGCAGAGATCCTGCTGGCACCTGCCTTGAGTTACAGCAGGGGCTGGAATTTGGCTCTGGAGTCGCAGGTAGTTGTTAGACGAGCTAACATGGAGGAGCTGCGTGCGTCCCCGCATGGGAGGGCGTCCCTGGTGCAGAGCTGTTCATCCCGCGCTGCCCCTGTAGCCACTGGCAGCAGTTTAGGGGCCATGCGGGCAGCTGAAGCCCTCGCTGCGAGGCCGCATGCGGCTGCCGGGCAGGCTAGGCTATAAAAAGGCTTCCCTTTGCCATTTGGAGTTATGTTTCCCACACTCAGCACGCCCCGCTCCGCACAGGCAGCGTCGCCGGCCCGGGGGCGAGGAGGGGGCCGCCGG